GGCAATAAAACCTGGAAGCTGATTGGTTTCTATGCAGACCTGAATCTGATTTTGCACTCTCCAGCTTTAGTAAATAAACCCCACTGTGTCACCTAATTGGGATTGGGTTTTTTTTTGGCACTTTATTGTAGGTCCATATTGGGACCAGACATCTATGCACTTTATCACTTGTTTTTCACGCTTTTAGATCCTTGAAGGATCCATCCCATATTTATGCATTATATGTTTTGATATTTACTTAATATCTACAAATAATATATATATTATTCACTTTATATAGCGCTACACCAATATTATTTAATATTCATTGCACCTTTGGTATAGGATAGGGTGTTAGCTTTTTGGTATTTATTCTTATTACTCTTGCTTAGTGCAGGGGGATTTCTTTCTTTATTTGTAGTGAACAAACAGCATCATGAAGGCCAAGGAACACACCAGACAGGTCAGGGATAAAGTTGTGGAGAAGTTTAAAGCCAGGTTAGGTTATAGAAAAATATCCCAAGCTTTGAACATCTCACGGGGCACTGTTCAATCCATCATCCAAAAATGGGAAGAGTACGGCACAACTGCCAACCTACCAAGACATGACTGTCCACCTAAACTGGCAGGCCGGGCAAGGAGAGCATTCATCAGAGAAGCAGCCAAGAGGCCCATGGGAACTCTGGAGGAGCTGCAGAGATCCACAGCTCAGGGGGGAGAATCTGTCCTCAGGACAACTATTACTCGTGCGCTTCACAAATCTGACCTTTATGGAAGAGTGGCAAGAAGAAAGCCATTGTTGGATGAAAGCCATAAGAAGTCCCGTTTGCAGTTTGTGAGAAGCCATGTGGGGGACACAGCAAACATGTGGAAGAAGGGGCTCTGGTCAGAGGAGACCAAAATTGAACTTTTTGGCCTAAAAGCAAAACGCTATGTGTGGCGGAAAACTAACACTGCACATCATCCTGAACACACCACGTGGTGGCAGCATCACGTTGTGGGGATGCTTTTCTTCAGCAGGGACAGGGAAGCTGGTCAGAGTTGATGAGAGATGGATGAAACCAAATACAGGGCAATCTTAGAAGAAAACCTGTTAGAGTCTGCAGAAGACTTGAGACCGGGGCAGAGGTTCCCCTTCCAGCAGGACAACGATCCGAAACATCCAGCCAGACCTACAATGGAAGGGTTTCTGATCAAAGCATCTTCATGTGTTAGAATGGCCCAGTCACAGTCCAGACCCAAATCCAATGGAGAATCTGTGGCCAGACCGGAAAATTGCTGTTCCCAGACACTCTCCATCCAATCTGACAGCTTGAGGGATTCTGCAAAGAAGAACGGGTAGAAATGTCCTTCTCTAGATGTACAAAGAGACATCCCCAAAAAGACTTGCAGCTGGAATTGCAGCCAAAGGGGGTCCTACAAAGTAATGACTCCGGGGGGGCCGAATACAAATGTCACCACACTTCTCACAGATTTATTTGTAAATAATTTAGAAAACCATTTCTCATTTTCCTTCTACTTCATAATTATGTGCCACTTTGTGTTGGTCTATCACATCCAATCCCAATAAAATACATTGATGGTTTTGGTTGTAACATGACAAAATGTGGAAACTTTCAAGGGGGAGGAAGACTTTTTCAAGGCACTGTATTTTTAACCTGGGTCAAGTATTTTGTTTCAAATTTTGCTTTATGCATTGACATACCACCTTAGAACCAGTTTGTCTGGACAGTATGGCCACCTGCTGACTTGACACCATCAACAGACAGCTTAACTCAACATGAAGACAGGGACTCTGAATCCAATGCAATTTTTCTTCAGCTAATTGCAGTCCAGAGGATATTTTTCTGGTCTTTTGAAATTTAGGAAGACAATAACTTTCCTAAGCCCTGTCTCTTCAAATAACTAACACTAACATGGAAGAAATGGGGAGGGTCCAGCTAGGAACGTACTAACTAGCACTAAACAGGTGGGGAGGACAGGGGAGAAAACAAAATCACATAGTAGACAAGTTGCATTGGCCCAAATCCCCACTAGATGTCAGCATACTACAGCACAATAATAACCTGATGCAATTCAATACAGAAAAAATAGTGGGACAGATCAAAAAGTGTTGAGGAGTTTCAATTTTGGGGGGGTTAGGTAAAGTTCCTCTTTAAAGAGGCAGGGAACTTGGTTGGTTTTGCTATGGGGCCCCATTACACATAGCTATGCCCTTGTCTGGTACAATTGCTGCATTTTTGGGGAGGACTGAGAGAAGAGCTCTGTACTGGGAAGTGGAGAAGGAGCTTTGTAGTGGTGATTCCTCCAGTGACACCACTGATGCAGGGACATTTCCTTTTGGTGACATCACCGACTCAGGGATATTTTTACCTTTCAGACAGAGGCGGAACTACCAGGGTTGCAAAGGTTGCAAAGCTTATCTGCCCCTCCTGCTCCCACCCCCACTCCTCCTGTGTCTGCTCCGCCCACACTCCAATCCCTGGCAGTGCTGTGCCACAGAAAAGGGGAGGTGTGGATGGGAAGTTGGAAGCCCAGCAACCAGCAGATGCACGGTGGAGATTAAAGTTGCAGATTGCCGATGCCCCAACCTGGGTGAGTGAGCTCACTATCCATCCAATATCTGAGTGAAACCCCCCCCCCCCTTTCTCTCTCCTCCCTCCCAGTGAGTACACTAATGTGAGTGAGGCTTTGGTGAGCAGAGACCCCCTTACATCACAGCCCCCCTTAAATCAGGGTTCCCAGAGCACCCCTTACTTCAGAGTTCCCATTTACATTAGAGTCCACAGAGCTCCCTCATAGAGTGTAAGGGAAGATTTTACAGACTCAGATGTAAGGGGAACTCTGATACAAGAAGGGTTCTGCAGAGTCTGCTGTAAAAGGGAGCTCCGATGTAAGGGGGGCTCTGGGAATTCAGATGTAAAGGGGAACTCTGTGAGTTCAGATGTAAAAGGGAACTCTGAGGATTCAGATGTAAAAGTAAACTCTGGGGATCCAGATGTAAAGGGGGACTCTGCAGATTCAGATGTAAAGGGGAACTCTGTAAGTTCAGATGTAAAAGGGAACTCTGCAGATTAAGATGTAAAGGGGAACTCTGTGATTCAGATGTAAAAGGGAACTCTGAGGATTCAGATGTAAAGGCAAACTCTGGGGATCCAGATGTAAAGGGGGACTCTGCAGATTCAGATGTAAAGGGGAACTCTGTGAGTTCAGATGTAAAAGGGAACTCTGCAGATTAAGATGTAAAGGGGAACTCTGTGGATTCAGATGTAAAGGGAAACTCTAAGAACTCAGATGTAAAGGGGAACTCTGTGGATTCAGATGTAAAGGGGAACTCTGTGAGTTGAGATGTAAAGGGGAACTCTGTGAGTTGAGATGTAAAGGGAACTCTGTGAGTTCAGATGTAAAGGGGAACTCTGTGAGGTGAGATGTAAAGGGGAACGCTTTGAGTTCAAATGTAAAGGGGAACTCTGCGGATTCAGATGTAAAGGGAACTCTGGGGATCCAGATGTAAAGGGGGACTCTGCAGATTCAGATGTAAATTGAAACTAAGAATTCAAATGTAAAGGGGGACTCTGTGAGTTCAGATGTAAAGGGGAACTCTGTGGATTCAGATCTAAAGGAAAACTCTGGGGATCAAGATGTAAAGGGGGACTCTGCAAATTCAGCTGTAAAAGGAAACTCTAAGAATTCTGATGTAAAGGGGAACTCTGTGAGTTCAGATATAAAAAAGGGAAACTGCAGATTCAGATGTAAAGGGGAACCTTGTGAGTTCAGATGTTAAGGGAAACTCTGTGAGTTCAGATGTAAAGGGAAACTCTGTGAGTTCAGATGTAAAGGGAAACTCTGTGGATTCAGATGTAAAAGGGGACTCTGCAGATTCAGATGTAATGGAAACTAAGAATTCAAATGTAAAGGGGTACTCTGTGAGTTCAGATGTAAAGGGGAACACTGCAGATTCAGATCTAAAGGAAAACTCTGGGGGTCAAGATGTAAAGGGGGACTCTGCAGAATCAGATGTATGGGCAGCACAGTGGCTAAATGGTTAGAACTTCCGCCTGGCAATACTCGGGTCACTGGTTCGAATCCCAACCACGGCACCACCTGCCTGGAGTTTGCATGTTCTCCCTGTGCCTGCGTGGGTTTCCTCTAGGTACTCCGGTTTCCTCCCACACTCCAAAGACATGCTGGGAGGTTAATTGTCTCCTGTCTAAATTGTATGTGTATGTATGAATGTGAGTTAGGGACCTTAGATTGTATGCACCTCGGGGGTGGGGACTGATGTGAATGTACAATATATATGTAAAGCGCTGCGTAAATTGACGGCGCTGTATAAGTACCTGAAATAGATAAAAATAAAATAATTCAGATGTAAAAGGAAACTCTAAGAATTCTGATGTAAAGGGGAACTCTGTGAGTTCAGATCTAAAAAAGGGAAACTTCAGATGTAAAGGGGAACTCTGTGGATTCAGATGTAAAGGGAAACTCTGAGTATTCAGATGTAAAAGGGAACTCTGTGGATTCAGATGTAAAGGGGAACTATGAGTATTCAGATGTAAAAGGGAACTCTGAGTATTCAGATGTAAAGGGAAACTCTGAGTATTCAGATGTAAAAGGGAACTCTGTGGATTCAGATGTAAAGGGAAACTCTGAGTATTCAGATGTAAAGGGGAACTCTGAGTATTCAGATGTAAAAGGGAACTCTGTGGATTCAGATGTAAAAGGGAACTCTGTGGATTCAGATGTAAAGGGAAACTCTGAGTATTCAGATGTAAAAGGGAACTCTGTGGATTCAGATGTAAAGGGAAACTCTGAGTATTCAGATGTAAAGGGGAACTCTGAGTATTCAGATGTAAAAGGGAACTCTGTGGATTCAGATGTAAAAGGGAACTCTGTGGATTCAGATGTAAAGGGAAACTCTGAATAATGAAAAGGATAGAATAGTGCAAATAAAATATTTACAATAAAAAAAATAGCATTTTTGTTTTATATTGTGTGTGGGAACACTTTGTTTTTTGTTTGTTTTTTTTCAGCAACTCACATTTCATTATTGTATTCATTATGTATTCAATGCAGGGGCGGACTGACCATCTGGAAACTGGGGCGCTGCCCGAGGGCCCAGGGTCAGTAGGGGGCCCCATGAGATGCCCCTGGTACCTTTTTCATAGGCTTTTTTGAGTTTGGGCAAGGACACAGGGGCCCCATGATCCCCTATTTCCCGGGGGCCCCATGAGTTGTCAGTCCGCCCCTGATTCAATTTGTGGTAGCGCACATTGTTTTCTATACATAGTTTTCAATCCTTGCCCTGGGCACTGGATGACCTTGTCCCGGCCGTGCACATTGGATTATGGGGGTTTTCGGCTTCCTCTGGGTCAGCGCAGGGTTTCCAATGTTGCGAACCTTTGTCCTCCGAGTCGTGTGACCAGTACAAGGATGGCGGTCTTCTCTGCACCAATCCAGTCCTCCGGGTTTCTAGGTGCCGGTCATAAAAGCGCGCTGGAGGCTTGCCAGGCGCTGCGAGGGTTAAGTCTGCTAATGCAAGGCAACGATAAAGATGAACGCGGAATTCCCCCTTAAGGCTCATAGATATTTCATTTGGTAGGATTGTAATTACAGGAAATGAAGATGGTGTCGACATTAATGACCAGATAGAACGTATCCGCCATCTCTAATTAATGTCCCGTTAACCTTAACGAATGAATCGACCGACTTTACAATTCTCTTTGATGGCGGAGGGCCGGCGATCCCGGGGAAGGATGGCGCTCAGGACGATGAGGCTGCGGGGGGAACAACACCAGACAATCGAGGAGATCCAAGGCGGTGATCCCCACACACACACCGGGCCTGGTGTACGGAGCGCCCCGCAAGTCCCTCGGGGGGTGTAAGATGAAACTTTCATGCGCAGTTCCCGACGCGTTCCACTGCAGCTCACGCGAACCTAATACATTTTATACAACGATCTCCGAACGAACGAAGGCTGATTGAGAGGGAAGTTACGGTGCGGATCAGCTGGCGTATATTTGCAGTTAAAAAAATGAACGATTTACCCGAGTACTTGCTGTTCCGTATTTGGGTGATTGAGCCCGGGTTCACAATGATGCAGTGCGAAATTTGTGATTTCCACACCACATCATGATCGCACCCCTGCGCACCACTGCAGGTGTTGTCCTCCTGCCCTTCCTGACCAGGGTAGTTTTTTACATGAGCGTCTTCCTGGCAGTAAAGGGGTTAAATGTGATGACTGGTGTACTGATGGGCAATCGGACGCTATCTGGGAATGGCGTGAAAACCACGGGAGCGCAAATCATGTATATATATATGTGATTTTGCGCACCCATTCCGCCCTGTAGCAGTGTTTCTGCTATAGGGCGGTCAGGAAGCGGTTACAGAAGCGGTTTGTGTTACGGTGCTGCGTTACGTTAACCGACAGTTGCGCGGTCATGCAACGCTTCACCCAAATGAAATTTACGTCCTTTTTTTTTTCGCCACCAATTGAGCTTTCTTTCGGTGGTACTTTATCGCCTGTGCGTTTTTTATTTTTTGCGCTATAAAAAAAGACCGACGATTTTGAGAAAAAAAACAATATTTTGGACTTTTTTTTGCTATTAAACATGACCAGTGAAAAAAAATTTAAAAATCAAATTTCGGCAGAAATTTAGGACAAAATGTATTCTGCAACATGTCTGCGCTAAAAAAAAAAAAAAAATCCCAATTTATGTAAATTGGTTTTACGTGAAAGTTATAGCATTTACAAATGGCGGTATAGATACTGGAATTTTGTTTTCTTTACAGGTAATGGCGGAGATCAACAACTTATAGCGGGACTACGGTGGGCATTCTGATACTGGGGAGAACTGACTTGGTGTCACTGACATCCCCAATGACACCAATACAGGGATCAGGGCTAAAAAGAAAACACTGACACTGTACTAATGGCACTGGGCAGGAAGGGGTGACATCCCCAGTGACACCAATACAGTGATCAGTGCTAAAAAAAAAAAACACTGACACTGTACTAATGGCACTTTTGGACATTTTGCTATAAAACATGTCCAGTAAAAAAAAAATTAAAAATCACATTTAGTCATAAATTTCTGCCAAAATGCATTCTGCTCCGTGTCTTTGCTAAAAAAAAAAAACCCAATACGTGTAAATTAATTACGTGAACGTTATAGCGTTTACAAATGGCGGGAAAGATACTGGGATTTTTGGGGTTTTTTTTTATACTAATAATGGCGGCGATCAGCGACTTATGGCGGTGATCAGTGACTTATGGCGGGACTGCGGCGGACATTCTGACACTGGGGGGGAACTAACTTGGGGTCACTGACATCCCCAGTGACACCAATACAGTGATCAGTGCAAAAAAAAAACACTGACACTGTACTAATGGCACTGGGGAGGAAGGGGTTAACTTTATTATTCAGTGAAAGGGTTAACTGTGTGAGGGGAGTGTTTTACTAGGGGGCGGGGGTGTACTGCAAGGGGACATGCTGATCGGGAGACATAAACTCTTCTCTCCCGATCAGCCTGTCAGGAGCTGTCAGGAAACTGACAGAAAGCACAGCTACTGCAGCTGTGCTCTCTGTCACTGATTGCCGCTAATCGCCGGGACATAGCCGGTAACGACCGGCTGTGACCCGACGACTGACATTTGCGGCCGTGATCGGCGGGACAGGTAGGGCGGTGGCGCGCCTCGTGCGCGCCCCCTACCTGTTTTCAAAACACACGTTTTAAAAACGTGGTTTTGCCCAGCCGTGCCGCCCTGCCACCGTATTTCTACAGTGGCTGGGCGGCAAGTGGTTAAAAAATATATATATATTTTTTAAATATATTCTTCAGATTGTTTTTTAACGTATAAAAAAGTCATTTTAACATATATTTTTACTTATATTTGTAAATGCCTTCCAAAAATGTAGATTTGTATCTTTAAAGACATACAGTATATTTGAAATGTATTTTTAAACATATTTTTCATATATTTTGTAATAAAAATTTCAACATTCGGTATACACACACACATATATATATATAATTGAAATATATTTTGAAATATATTGAATATGGCCAAAATTGTAGCATTTCAAATATATGGCAATATATTTGGTAAGAATATTTTTAAAATATATTTCATATCTATTTTTCTTCCATGTGGGATGGTGGGTTGACCGAAAGGGCCGAAGGGGAGGAGTATAGCGTTTGGTCAAGGAAGGAAGTGGAGGAGCACAGTGAGGCCACCAGTGACCAATAGACAATGAGCATGGAGCAAACAATCGTCCCACCCTCCCTCCTGCTTTTTTGGTGGATTGGAACTTGTTAGGGTAAGGTGCAAATGGGGTTGAGTAATCAATCTTGGTACCCATCTTTCTTTCGGTATTCAGCCCTACCTGAGTCAAGCGTGAGGTTGGGGCAGTACCTGGATGAGTTCATCCAATGCCCAGGGTGAGGATGTGGAACTGCACCATCCCCTCCATTTCTAATGCATGATGTAAATTAGGAGTACCACACTGCACCCATTCCCTGCCCCCTCTGGCTGCCCATGGTAAGCATGGACTGTTGCATGGCCAATCACTTGGAGGTTCGAGGCCATTGCACAGAGCAGGTAAGTATAGCATGCCTATTATTTTAATTAAAAATTCACCAAAGCTTTATAATCACTTTAACAGGGGCAACTTTTGGAGATAAGGGGCGCCATTTTGAAAGGTATTTAAAGAGCTTATGGCTTCTTGTATATAATCAGCATTTTCCAGAGAGGTGTAAAAAGGTGCGTTCCCCTTTAAGCCGTCCCTTGGAACTTCTATGCCCAGAGAGTCTTCGTCAGCCATCATGCCCCCCTCTATCCTGAAACCAATATTGCCGCATCATTCAGACAGACAAGAGGGGAAAAGAGAGATATATTAAAAAGCAAAGCGATCAATACATTCTAATGAGGTGGGGACTAATCCTGTGCACTCAGGAATCTTGCCTGGATCCTCTATAATTCCCTGTTCTGCATCGATTCAATAACTGGCAGATACAATTAGCAAGAATGGCCTCTGTAAATTACCCTATACCATTAAAAAAAAAAAAAATACAAGACTCGGAGCTGCTGGATTAGCTGGGACCAAGAGCAGGTTCTTCTTGAGTATGGGGAAGATATCAGAAGGACCAGGAGGATTTTTTGTTGCAGCAATCGCCATCTTTGCAACTTAAAACATTAGCAGAACATTAAGTTGAACTCTAGACAGAACGTAGTATTATACACTCACCGGCCAGTTTATTAAGTCCACCTTACTAGTGCCGGGTTGGACCCCGTTCTGCCTTCAGAACTACCTTCGTGGCATAGATTCAACAAGGTGTTGGAAATGTTCCTCAGAGATTTTGGTCCATATGAACATGATAGCATCACACAGTTGCTGCAGATTTGTCTGCTGCACATCTATGATGAATCTCCGCTTCCACCGCATCCCAAAGGTGCTCTGTTGGATGAAGATCTGGTGACTGTGGAGGCCATTGGAGTACAGTGATCTCATTGTCACCTTGGAGATGATTTGTGACATGGTGCATTTTCCTGTTGGAAGGACCATCAGAAGATGGGACACTTGGGTCATAAAGGAATGGACATGGTCAGCAACATTACTCAGGTAGGCCATAATGTGTAAACGATGTTTAATTGGTACTAAGGGGCCAAAAGTGTGCCAAGAAAATATCCCCAACACCATGACACCACCACCAACTGAACCATTGATACAAGGCAGGATGGATCCACCCCACCATGACACCACCACCACCAGCCTGAACCATTGATACAAGGCAGGATGGATCCACCCCACCATGACACTACCACCACCAGCCTGAACTGTTGATACAAGGCAGGATGGATCCACCCCACCATGACACCACCACCAGCCTGAACCGTTGATACAAGGCAGGATGGATCCACCCCACCATGACACCACCAGCCTGAATCGTTGATACAAGGCAGGATGGATCCACCCCACCATGACATCACCACCACCAGCTTGAACTGTTGATACAAGGCAGGATGTGTCCACCCCACCATGACACCACCAGCACCAGCCTGAACCGTTGATACAAGGCAGAATGTGTCCACCCACCATGACACCACCACCCACCAGCCTGAACCGTTGATACAAGGCAGGATGGATCCACCCCACCATGACACCACAAGCCTGAACCATTGATACAAGGCAGGATGGATCCACCACACCATGACACCACCACCACCAGCCTGAACCGTTGATGCAAGGCAGGATGGATCCACCCCACTATGACACCACCACCATCAGCCTGAACCGTTGATACAAGACAGGATGGATCCATGCTTTCATGTTGTTTACATCAAATTCTGAC